TCAACCTCTTCGCCGCCTTAAGGGCCTATGAGTCCCATTCTGTCCGTGTTTCGCCTTCACTTTTAGTGCTTTTACTTGAAACCTTTAGTTTTCGTCTAATTCTTACTTCAGTTTCACTTATTTCCACTCCCTTTACAGGTGTGTTTAAAAATATCACCATCAACTGCTGGCACAAGAACCTATTTTCTGTCCTGTTCATGCATTTCCTCTCCTCAGTACTGTCAGTCTAGGGCTCAGTGAATCGACTTTCGATGTCGATGAATATTACTTGTTTCATTATGCGAATATTTGTTTTAAAACAAATTCAATATTTCAGAAGTACGTATTTTATTACAACAAGACAAGAAGCAACAATATGAACGAAAAATGAAACAACGGAACAGCTTTTTTTCACAATCACAGAAGAAAAACCAAAATAAGCATAGAACGCGCTAGTATTAGAGCATCTATTGATCAAACAACGACAATTTATGACGGTCCTTAAACACAAGAGAATATCGCATGGCTGTTGGTGATAGAGACGACCTTTGTTTTCGTCGAATGTACCCTGCAACACTAAACATTGACTCGCATGGAACTGATGATGCAGGGATTATATTTACACGACGAACTACAGCACTCATTAGTAGAAGTTTATTTTGGTGGCCGTACCGAAATTCAGAAAAACTTATAACTCGATCTGCATTGATCGACGAAATAGACTAATATTGGCGATAGAATTGAAATTTCTTGACGGAATGTTGTGCAAATTATGCTGCAGTTGTATTCTAAGTCAAGGTACGTGCTCTAAATCACAGCATGCTTCGTTCTGCGAAAACCATTTTTGCATGACAAAGTACTGACATTAATCTAATATAATCAGGCCATTACTTTTACTTAACAACGGTATTGCTTTGTCTAGTTGACAATCAAATTATTTTAATAATCACTGCAGTATCTTACAATAATCACGGAAGCAAGTTGTATAGAGCCAAATAATGTATTAGTTAGTTATTGAGAAACTGTAGTTGATCAACTTATTTCATGTTAGGGAAACTTATTTCTATTTATGTCATTATCAGAAACTGAACAGTGTTGGATGAGTGCGTACCCTAATCTATGTTCTATTGAATATTATCTGCTACTATGATGTTCATTTAAAATAAACATTTCAATCTGATATCCTACTGAGAGTCTGTGGGAAAAGAAGCGGAGTAGGATGTCAGACTTGAACAAATTGTAGATTATCCGTAAAGTCACGATCTTTATAATCTAAAGTTTAAGATACACGATGTTTTAAAAATATGCTTTCTATGTAGGAAAGTATTGCCAATGATCCTTCAAATTAAGCCACTTCCAGATATCTTCTCATGCTATTATTCTTCAATTTAATAGCAGATACTTTATTAGAATCTAACTTTATAACGTAATGCATCGTCTGTACTATTGTGGTTAAAGGTTTCAATTCGTTTTCATATGATACCGATGAATGTTGTAGACTACGTTTCTAAATTAGAATATGCAATCATTGCAGTTTGATAAATATGCAATTTTTTCACGCAATGCCTAATGACGACATCTTTCATAAGAATAAATGAAGCCATAACAGTTTGGCGAAGTCATGATTACCATTCCATTTTTTTTAGCTATGAGACATTATAAACGAAAAAAAAACTCTTAGCAATAGCAGTTAATGCCGTTTCGATTGTTTTATAAAAATTTTAAATATTCCAAAATGTTTGTTGAAACTTGAAGGGTTCGAGTTAGTTTTTGAATGCTTTAAAAAGTCTATTGTTTATTTTTTGTGCAAATAGAAATTTGTATTTAAGGTGCTAATGATGATAAAGAGTGATTGATCGATCAGCAGCAGTTGTTATATAATCAATGTTAAAAGCTCGATTCGGTCAAGATAGAATCTTCTTAAAAATTAATGTAAGTGTTTGTAATTTATAGAGATATAAAATTCGTTAAGACTGCTTCTGTAGATTTGGTAAATATACACAATAGGTTGATGTGTCATTTTATTTAACGTGCAGAATAATGACGTTAAATGAGGAAAAAAAATACGAAAATGAAAAATAACTAGCGGTAGCAAACAGTGCAAAAAAATATGGCGCCTGTAAAAAAAAGAAAAATTTTCTGTTTGAAATTCAGACATAAATAACAGATATTTTTCTGACGATCGGTTAACTTGAGCTACTATAATCTACGAGAGATTCTTCACTTTCAGTATTTTGCACTAGGTTAATGAAGCGAAAGAGCATATGTGAGTTCCACATTTTAGCACCGATAGGTGCTGCGCTGATAAACGTATTTCAGATGCAAACAACAGGATTGTTGACGAATGTCGAACATAAAACTCTACGAACAACTGAGCTCATCTTTTAGTAGTTCTTGTCCATTTATCAAATACCCAGGTCGAGATTTACGGAGTTTGTATACGGCCGTTTACGATCGTATACGATTCTTGTACGACCGTATTTTACCGTATTACATGGCACAGTATTGCGATCGTATATCTCCGTGTCGTATACGGAGAAATACGGAGCAAAACGGAAACCGTATACAGAGTCCGTATACGTGGATCGTATACGGTCGTTTTTTCACTGTATACGATACGGAGATATAGGATCGTAATACTGTGCCATGTAAATCGCCGTATTTCTCCGTATACGATCGTAAACGATCGTGCCTGTTCGACCTGGGTAGACATCTACATATCGACATTTTCATTTAGTCATAATAATTTTATTTCATTCATATACAACGCAGCTTATTAAGTCATGACTAAGTTTACCGAAGAACTACACTAAGGGTGTTAAATAAACACTTGCTCAATAGTATCTTAAATTAAACATTATCTTCACTAACGATTCAAACTAGATTCCTCGCTAACGTATGCCAGGTTATTCAAAGAAACAGCTAAAAACAAAATAACTAATACAATTTTTTTGTAACTATTTGGACCAGCTAATACATTATTAATCGGTAACACATTTTGTATCACTCGGAAATCAGGCTATGACATACAATAGAAATATATATTTGAAACTAATCATCATTTTGTGTTTTATAAGTTTCCGTAGCATGATTATAGCAAACCGCTTATATAAAATATTCATGCACATCACATAATCAAATTAAAATAAATAGAACATAAACTAAGTCACTTACTATCCAGGACAAATACCACTAAAAAATGTTGACATTCCCAACCGACGAAAATCGCCAAACGGACGCCCATCAGTAATAATACAATCAATCGCAGATTCATGGAGTTCTCGTTTCTTTTCGGGTTTGATTTGCTTTGGATTTGCTGCAGATTGATTACCTTGTGATTCAAACAACATCTCTGGCATATATGATGTGCTCGGCCTAGATGACTGCGTAGGTTGGCATCGCTGTTGCTCGAAATTTTGATTAGCTGAAAGAGATTAATTGAATGTGATAAAAATGAAGTAATGGATTTATGAAAATCTCTTTGCGGCATTTTATTCTAAATAAGTCCCGTAAACTTTATCTATCTGATAGAACTTTCCGAGATGAAGACTAATTAATCACGCTATTCATCGACCGAGTAGTAAGTAGCTGCTCTGATACATTATCGCAAAACATGCAACAGGATCGCTAATTAATCGAGATATTAAAGTTGATGTCGGAAAAGAAGCTAGCCTGAATTGGTCATGAATAATATCGGCGCTTGTCTACTATGTTAGATCAATAGATAGGAAAAACGGATATCTAGTAGATTTGACCGCTCAATAACCGATCCTTATTTCGTTTCTGATTTTAAAAACTATTAACAGTTTTCTTACAACTACAGAATGAAATTTTATATTTCGAAGTTTAGGATATGTTTGTTACTTTCTTTAATGATAACGAAAGTAGATGGGTTGAGCGAGCTAGAGATAACACCATGGATAAATATATCAGTTTTATATTTCAAGTTACGAAGAATTTGAATTGTTGTCAAACGTATGTCACCCACTATCACTATATTATACATCTGAAGCTTTACATGACTGAGATATGGAGACAATTTAGCTGGTTGTTGATGGTGAATGATCGATTCTATTCAATAAGTATGCAGATCATTGTTCGCTTTTCCCTTGTTAAGAAAGAAAAATGGTTCTCTCTTTAAAATTTTCAAAGTTGAATTTTATTCGGAATAGTCATAGGCTATAAAATTTTGAACTCTAGAGACTGTAACTATCCACCAACGAAATCATTAGTAAATTACTAGTATTCGAAGTTGTAATTACTACTGCATGAATTGACAACCGATATCGCCTGTGCCAATTCAACTACAGTATGACACATAATCTTTGAGTTCAATCATACATCTCGAGTATAAAAATAAGATGTGACACTGTTATTTCGTTTGCAATTATGAATATTGTCAACTGAATGAGTTTGTTTTACGCCTAATTAAATGAGTCAAGAAATCTTGTACAAGTATCATAGACTGTAACTTGTTCAGATCCAATTTTAATATATGAACTTGACTTAGAAAAGAGCTACTGAATTTTATTACTGAATGACAGCTTTATTGATGTAATCGAAATTACTTGAATAAAAATAAGATGCTGTAGAATGAATCAACTTTTAATATGAACTTATAGTTGTACAATGTAAATAGAAACTGTTCATATCTAATATATAAAAGCTGATAAAGTTTCATTAGATTAGAGCAATAAAATTGTTTCAAAACTTTCAAGATCATAAAATCAACGAAAGAAACCGATTTATTAGGGTAGTTTTGGTTATTATAATTATTTGATATCAATATCGTCATTCCAAAGTTCTTTCCGCTAGTTTAGGTTGCAACGCGCGTATCTGTAAACGTATGGTATGTAATGCGGCAAAATCACTGAAATCTGATGAAGAATAAGTTTTAAATTTCAACACGTACTTACTTTCAAACAAATTTGACATAGATTATTATTATCATCTATATGTTCAAAATAATCTTTTGCTGGTAGTAATTTTTTGCTGCTTTTGTTCGATTCTTTTTGCAACAATTATAGCTTCTGGTTCATCATCAGACAATTCAATATCATTTGCATTATTGTTATCAATAACTTCTTTGTCATCACTTGATGATGATTGGAGTTGATTGGATGCAATACTTGACGTTGTTGCGCTTGTGCTAGAATTTGATGTTCGAGCATTAACATTATGAATATTTTTCTTTGATCGTAATGAACTATTTCTTTTGTAACACCACCTGACTGTGATTGATTACGACGTAAATTATAAGGACTATGTGCAGATGAAAAAGATAATGTTGCACTATCATCGTGATTTTTGTTCATTTTAGATGTCATAAAATTTATGAATGATCTAAAATGAACCGGTTCATATCATAGAAAAATGTTGTTCAGTTCACCAGAAATGTTCAGTTCGTCTTGAAAACAATTCACCTTAATTCTATAATAATATAGTTGTTGCGTTATGCTTTTTCACTTTTTTAAGTCCTCAAAATCGTGAAATACTATGGATTCGTATGGGTCAAAATATGAAGGTTCAGTTAAAATTTTTTCCATAACAAAAACGTGAATGTGATATAATCTTCCAATATTTAAATATACCTATGACACGATGTAAAAACAGTCTGAAATGAAATCAACTTTAGATGTGGATTTGAAATCCAGTTCGTACGTTTTTCAAAATCATCCAATCGTATTCACGCTAATCTATTGACAACTATATTAATTTTTTTCCATTTATATATATACCCAGGTGAATCAATCCGATACCGAATCCCATCGGATTCTATGGGGTCCTACCATCCGACGAAATCCCATTGGATTCCTGGTTGAGGAATCAATGTCGGATCCAACAGTCGTATTTCCAATGATATCCGATTGTTGGAACCAATGAAATCCGAAGCATTCCGGTTCCGATTGACGGTTACTGTCGGATTTTATTAGTTTCCGATATTAGGATCCGGTATCGATTCCGGAACCAGGAATTCGATGATAATCCGTAGTTTCCTTGCGCCTTCCGAAGAGCTCCGTCGGATTCCAATAGGAACCGATCGGAACTCATCGGATCCTAGGCTAGGATTCATTCTCCTGGGTATATATATGTCCGTAAAATGATTGAAGATTTTCTAAGACTAAATCCAATTTTTACTTTTACAAGTGTTGAAATATTTTCATCATATATAGAATAACCGGATAGATAGTTATCGAAATCAGTAACTCAGTTAGATTTAGCGTTCATATCTGTCGGTCATTTCCAAAAACTTTACTTCGATGACGACTTCTTCTAAGTAATCGAAACTTTCATTACACTTACGATGGGGAAATGGTTTCTCTTCCATCAACTCTTCGATCACTCTGTTTTGTTTGTATTTTAGACTGCTTTTATCCATTGTCTGTTTGCGAATCCTTTAAGGAAATACTTAAGTGATATGTTAAAATTTAATAAGTATTATTTGATATAATTTTACATTAAATAGGATTTTCATTCAATAAATTTTCATAACATGTTTTTCACTGTTTCGTCTTTTATTGAAGTCATTTGAATTTCAATCATTAAGCAGTCATTTAACAAAAAGAAAACTAATTTAAATAGAAAAAAAATTCTTTTCAATTAGTTATTCTTGTCCAACATGAATTGACGAAATAAATAGAGCTTTCACGTTTAACCGACTCATCATCAATATTATGACGTTGATGATTCACCTATTTTGCTTCACTTATTCATACATAGTATAATTTAACATTAAACAGAATTTTAATTTAATACGTTTTCATAACAGTTATGTTGATAATGAGTCGGTTAAACGCGAAAGCTCTATTTATTTTCGTCAATTCATGTTGAACAAGAATAACTGATTGAAAAGAAATTTTTTTCTATTTAAATTAGTTTTCTTTTTGTTAAATGATTGTTTAATGATTCACATTCAAATGGCTTCAATAAAAGACGAAACAGTGAAAAACATGTTACGACAACGATTTATTCTATTCATATTGTGTATTTTTCCAAATTTTATAGGAAAAATGCTTAAAAGCATCGTAAATTTGCTCAATAAATTACGAATACTAGTAGCATTGTAGAAATTCATAATAAAATATATTCGCTATAAATTCTTTTTCATGTTGTATCTATGGGTACAAGAGAAAAATGATGAAATTGTGTCACGTTTTTTAAAATCTTCTTTTCTTACTGAAATGTGTATCTACAGCGCAAAAAAGAACGCGTGATCTATGAAAACCATTAATAAAAATTAAGACGCACAATCTTTTCAACGGTTGAATTTAATCTATATATGCACAGCATCATTTTTGGTCATATTTGCATTACTGGCCATTATGATACTGAAATACATAGTTGGATTGTGAGTGAGTCGTGGAAATATACTTTGTTTGCAGGATGCTATTTCATTCGTGGGTGAATTAAAAAATATATATGATCGTCTACAGTTGCTTTTGAATCATTTTTAACAAATCAAATAAAAAGCATGATAATATAAATCAGAACAATAGAATCTAAATACTAGCGCTAAAATCCATTTTTTTTTGCAGTATTGCTTCTGGCAACACTATTTTGTCTTGGTTGATAAGCTGTATCTCATCATATTGAAATTCACGAGTCTGATTACATTTGAGCATTTTCTCCAATAAATCAACGCGTAAGTTGATTTTCCAATCGTCTTATCTGAAAGTCATTTGAAAAGCTACCAAAGTGGAGAGTGTTCAGGGTGGTACATTTTTCAATGATACAAAATTTTCGTTGATTTCCTCAACTAGCATAGTTTTGTTTCTCTTATTCATTGTACACGAAAATTTGTTGTATATAACTGTTTAAATAGTTCGAAGTTCATCACATTTCTCTGATTTCAATTCTTTCGTACAGTCATTGTCCATATATCATGTTTAGATCTTACTAATTGATTATTATATTGTCATAAATCAGTTAATTACTCATGCCCTACGTACATAAAAGCTGGAGTCAAAAAAGATTAAACTTGCAATATTAAGTTTATAATTTTTCAGTTTTTATTGGATTTCAGCTTATACTTGTGTAATTGTGTTTCTCGAGTGTCATCGACTATGAGTGAGCATGATGAACAGCATTCAACTCTTTGGTTCAAAATAACGCCAAGAAAAAATTGAGACTGTGAATTTCGCGTCAAATGAAAACTCTAAATTCTGAATTTTGAGATCGCTATTTTTCGCCTAACGCTGGATTTCTGACTGTCCCATCAATTATACAAGTTGAGTATGATGAAGTTGGTTCGTGTTGACTATTCTTGCATTGTCAAAGTGAAGTGCATATGTCGTCGTGAGCCATCATGCGTAGTGTGCGTTTTTAAAATAAGCAATCTTTCTGTTTTGGTATGACATGATATCGTTGTACGAGTGTATGATTGTATCATTTTTAATAGTATAAAAAGATCAAAAAACAGTATTGGCACTAATTTTTATGAAGTATTCAATATTATATAATTAAAGTTATGCGAATAATGAAATCATTCGCACTGAATGCTTAGTATGACCTCTTGCCCGCTGTGAATAGTGATGAACTCTATATTGAAGAGTTTCTATATTCATCTAGTATGCTCGTTCTTAGTGTGCATATTGGTTTCCCTTTTTTCATGTTCATCTATGTTATTCTCCTATATTCGTTTGTGGTGCATCATGAACAATGAAATAGAGAGAACTGAAGTAATGATGTATTCTAGCTAGTGGGCATCATGTCCCAAGGCTGGTGGTAAAGCTAATTATCCAGTTTCTAATTGTTGATCAACAATAAAAGATTGCACTATAGTGGCAACAAAAGGTTACTTCATCCTGATTTTTCCTCACAACGATGATATTTTAAAACCCCTATGCAAATTCAAGAATGTCTTGCAAGATGAGACTGAATCAATATAGATATGATTTCAATTCGTAGCTCATATTGGCATCCTCATCTAAAATATGAAAATAGTTATTGTGTGAATGTTGATCTTTTTATGGAAAAATGCAAAATTAAACGATATAAGATTGTTTTGATACGTTAATGAATCAATTAACGGTTTTCCTAAGAACGTTAATTCGTTAATATTAACGGTTAACGCTTTTAGTTAATTAACGGCGTTAAATAAAATGGGCCACTCCTAGTTTTAATATGCGAAAACAAGTAGCGCTCATCATAATTACGTATTCGCTGACCCTTTTCTGAAAAAATAAAAATGGTACTTCATTGTGAATTACAAAAGCAGTCTACGATGAACTTGTAGGAAGTTTGTTTCGGAAGATAGTTATGCAACACAGTAATAATTCAGTCGTGATTTATTGCCTTATTCAACAAGTAACGCGACCTTAATGTCGCTAATCCACTACTAAAAGGAGATAAGCATTCAAAAAGCAAAAACGCTTACGTGAGACACTTCAGATAGTTCCTTGGTCGAAGAATACGGTTTGTATACGGCCGTCAAGCATTAAATACGGCCCCTATCTGATGACCGTATTCAATCACCCGGGTATAGCTTGGTAATAATTGTAACATAAAAAACGGCTGATAGCTAAACTTAGATAGAAAACCTATTTGCGAGTATCATCAAGCAATCTTTTTTTAAGTGCTATTTATGGATACGCAATGGCTAGAGTGAAATTAGGTGCGTCGGAACTAATGAAGCTAGCACAACGTTCAGAAAAATTTCAATAAGCTCGATATAAAATAAAGAAAAACAGCCATCCAAGAGAGATATCATCGAAATACTTCGTTTCAGTGAACCTGTAACTCAAACTAGTCTTGACACTATAGAAACCTAACAGGATTCCACACTCACAGATTACAGACCTAATCAAATCCTGTTTTTTTATTTCGACTTCTCTTTGGTTTATCTACATTTTTGCTCAATTCCATTTCAGCTCATTTCGCTTCGGTTCGTTCTCGCTGCGTGATGCAAATATATGCATCCCAGTGTGTATGTTCAAAGATAAAAGACTCTGACACTTACTTGATTCAATTCAAATCCCACTCTCAATTCAAAAAACAACAAAACTTATTAATACTTTTCCGATAAATATAAATTTCAGATATTTAAAGCGAGCTAGGCAAAGTGTTTCATGATGTGGCTGCGGAAAAGCTAGTATATTGACGCCATTTTCGACAATCGTTGCAACTTTTCTAATCTAGAGGATGTGTAAATATTCTGAAAGTTGTCAAACAGTGTAGTCTTAACTAGAATGAC